TGCAAGAGAAGATCTTACAACGTAACATCACGCGTGTGCAAGTGCAAGAGAAGATCTTACAACGTAACATCACGCGTGTGTGCAAGTGCAAAAGAAGATCTTACAACGTAACATCACGCGTGTGTGAGTATGCCCCCCCCACCCCCCCCACCCCCCTGTTCCCCACCCCAAAAATAATAACATGTCATGCGGGCACAACTTCTAACTGACGGGCACAACTTCCAACTGACGGGCACAACTTCTAACTGACGGGCACAACTTCTAACTGACGGGCACAACTTCTAACTGACGGGCACAACTTCTAACTGACGGGCACAACTTCTAACTGACGGGCACAACTTCTAACTGACGGGCACAACTTCTAACTGACGGGCACAAACTGACGGGCACAACTTCTAACTGACGGGCACAACTTCTAACTGACGGGCACAACTTCTAACTGACGGGCACAACTTCTAACTGACGGGCACAACTTCTCACTGACGGGCACAACTTCTAACTGACGGGCACAACTTCTAACTGACGGGCACAACTTCTAACTGACGGGCACAACTTCTAACTGACGGGCGCAACTTCTAACTGACGGGCACAACTTCTAACTGACGGGCACAACTTCTAACTGACGGGCACAACTTCTAACTGACGGGCACAACTTCTAACTGACGGGCACAACTTCTAACTGACGGGCACAACTTCTAACTGACGGGCACAACTTCTCACTGACGGGCACAACTTCTAACTGACGGGCGCAACTTCTAACTGACGGGCACAACTTCTAACTGACGGGCACAACTTCTAACTGACGGGCACAACTTCTAACTGACGGGCACAACTTCTAACTGACGGGCGCAACTTCGAACTGACGGACACAACTTCTCACTGACGGGCACAACTTCTCACTGACGGGCACAACTTCGAACTGACGGGCACAACTTCTAACTGACGGGCACAACTTCTAACTGACGGGCACAACTTCTAACTGACGGGCACAACTTCTAACTGACGGGCACAACTTCTAACTGACGGGCACAACTTCTAACTGACGGGCACAACTTCTAACTGACGGGCACAACTTCTAACTGACGGGCACGACTTCTAACTGACGGGCACAACTTCAACGCAGCACCACGAAACACTGCCCACAGTGAGCGAAATGAAGATAAACGCGCCCTGGCAGGCAGTTTTACGCTCTCCCCCGTGCGCGCCGACAGGGTTCCGGAAGGAACAACCATCGTGTATTATCAATCACATAAGAAGTGCGTATTCATATATGTATATATGTATATATATATATTTATATATATTATGTATTATACATATGCATAGAGTCATAGAGTATCTTCATGTATCTTCCAGATTTCTTGGGTAGTTGTAGGAAACTTGCCCAAAGACATTGGATGATCCATGGACGATCGGACCGACTGAATCCCGGTGGACATTCACCGAGGTGCATGGTGGCGATGACATCGATCTGATTGGAGATGGAGCACACGTAGCCCCTGGCGCGAGCTGACATGGCCAACCGGGGATGTGTTACTACAACGGACAGATACCCGACATGGAGATTTAACAGTTTGCGAACTGGAAAATCCTCATGCTCATAGGTTTTTAGCAATTTTCCATCGCTAAATCATCATACAACATTTATGACAGGTAAATCATCTATAATATAATCATCATAAATCATATAAATCATGTTCTTCCGTAGCAAACGTAACAAATTACCGTTCCGGATAGCCACCATTCACTCACCAGTCGCGGCCGGAGGTGCTGCCTGCAGCTCTTAGAGACGACCATCTTAGCGGGAAGAGCGGGTGAAAAATCGCAGGATTTCAAATGGGAAAATGATGGGAATAACATCTGGAATAATCATTTCAAACGTCTGGAGATGTCTGAACACTGAAGAAAAAACAAGACGCATGCATGTGTGTATATAACTACAATATATGTATATATAGGCTCGTCCCTGGATGTTAACGTTCATGTGAATTAACGTTCATGTGAACTTGCAGAAGCAGTTGATGCTACGCACACGCGGGGTGGGGGGGGGATGGGGTGGGATGTTAACGTTCATGTGAACTTGCAGAAGCAGTTGATGCTACGCTCACGCGGGGTGGGGGGGGGATGGGGTGGGATGTTAACGTTCATGTGAACTTGCAGAAGCAGTTGATGCTACGCTCACGAGGACTGGGACAATATATATATATATTTTTTGAATATATTTACAGAATTCTTCAGATATCTATATCATATTCATCATTTTTCAATATATATTTATATAGTTGAACTTACATATGTGTATGATGATGATGATGATGATGATGATGATGATGATGACGACGACGGAATTGACAAGTTTTACCAACCTAATTCTAATTCAGGTTTGCACGGTTCCAAGGGCAGGGACGAGGCTATATATACATATATACACACACATCCCACTAAAAATCCCGTTAAGCCGTTTCACATTCGTGATCCGGACTCAGGGCTGCATGCTGCTGTCCCTGGCCGAAGCGACCTGCGCTTACCGCGGTAGCAACAAGAGAGAGGAGGCACCACTGGGGGGCAGATTTGGAGGCCCCAAAAGATGGCAAGTTTTCGGGAAAATGATGATCAACATCAACAAATCTGGAGGATGCTGAATGGACATTTTGGGTTAGACGACGCTTTTTCAGGATGAACGATCATTCTTTGGTTCTTGGTGCTTGCAGGCACTCGCCAATTGCGAGGAGGCCCGAGACATCTTCAACGAGGCGACGACCGTTCTGCTGTTCGTTGGGAGATTCTGAGACCCCACTCTGATGTGGTAATAGAAAATATGCTATTGATATCTATTTATATAGATTATATTGTATATATGTATGTATATCCATTTCAATGGATTCCATAGATGCCACTTGAACTTGAAAGGCGCCTTTTTGATGAGGTCTAGAATGGTTTAGAACAAATGCGCGGAGACGGGGAACTTTGAAGCCTTGAGGCCTTCCCAGAATGCTAGGCAGAGCTCATTCAACTCTTGTTTAGATTCAAGCCGGATCAAGGCGCTTCATTCCAGGCGATCAATATTCGTATTATTGAAGGTGGTAAAACCAGCAATGAGACCAACTGTTTGTCCCACCTCACTACTTCCAAGTTTGAAAGTCGAAAACCCGCCCAGGGGCCTGAAGTTTGTGATTCCTGCATATCAACTTGGATATTCTTGTCGCTTATTGGTTGTATCCCAATTACTCTCTGGTAAACTAACATAGCGAACTAGAACGTCAGCCCTTGTAGTAGGTAAATCAACTACAACTGACCATTTTCCACAGCTATGTTAGTTTACCAAAGGGTATTCATAGCTTTAGATTTTTCGCCGCTCTTTCTATCGTAGGCCAAAGATGTGAAGTATGAGGCTTTGGCGATCTTGGCCCTAGCCGAGGTACTGAGTCCGACAGGATTTGATGCGATGTGGGCGTGTTCAATATGAGGGAACCCTTGGTTTCTTTATGAAAGCTGTCTAAGATATACCATATAATTCATATGAATATAGTATAGACATCAATTTGTGTGCATATATATATATAGATAGCTATACACATCTATAGATATGCGTATGAACATATATAAAAAACATATGTAGACATATGTATTTGTTCGACCGGATATATTTCTGACAGTCATGAGTTTGTTTGGATGCTGGCATTCCACATTTGTTGGCACGCTGCCTGGAAACACGGTTTGAAGGGGCGTATGTCCATGGCTTTTCCAAACTTCAGCTTAGCCGAACGGTCTACTGCTAGGTTTTACATGGTCTTACTACATGACCAGGGACTTCGACTTGGCCTTCTTTTGATTGGCCCGCAAGCCACACAGGTCTACTTCCGGAAGCGAAACTTCCATGCCGCGCGAAGAGCTTCTGCAGAGGCTGCAGCCCCTATAGTTTTTACTGGGAAACACCATGGTTAAGCTCATTTAAGGAAAGTCATGTGGTACACCCAGTGTCATAAACCATCCCCAAGTCATCACCATTTTTATGGGTGGGATTTCAACCATTCCCACATGGTTTGGTAGGTTTATGGCATTGGGTTGCGCACATCACCATGAATCACCATTCAATCCCTATAAAACACCATTCATCACAACAGGATGGAATGGAATTCACCATCAATCACATTACCCTCTGGTAATTTAACATAGCTATTGAAAATCACAATGTTTAATGGGAAAATTCACTATAAATGGCCCTTTTTTAATAGCTATGTTAAATTACCAGAGGGTAACCACCATTAATCACATATTAAGCATGGATTTCATAGGAATTCCCCTACCACCGTCGCACCGGGTCTCACGCGATCAGAGGCTGCTGATCTCTTTAAGAGTGAAGACGACAAGCTTTGCCAGGCTTCGGGGTGCCGGGTATAAAACCAATTAGTTTGAGGTTTAACCACCAGGATACATATATACATATATATATATATATTTGTATATGTATATACATATATATATATACCTATGTATATATTAATGGTGATAAACCCAGCAATAGCCATCAAAGATACGGTTTTTCTGGGAATAACATGAAATACCAAGGGTTTTTAATGGGGATGCGCAAGCAACACTATATATTGATTTGTGTTTGCCCTGAATTGAGGAGGGAATTTCCTGCAAGATCTTCCAACTCTTTGGGAAAACAATGATAAACTACTGGGATTTTTGGGGCACCCTATGTTTGGTGAAAGCCATAATTGGGAAATCCCGATTCGGTGGCTCTGAACGCAAATTTTGAAACAGAGATGCGGACTCCGCAAATCCACCAGCTTGATGTGTTGAGTAGCTGCTCACGGTTTGGGGGGACTGTCCCATTTGTTCATCTGGGTATGTATGAAAATGGGCCCAAATGACAATTTTAATAGGGAAGATGATAAAGTCATGATAATCCAATGGATTTGGGTGTTTTCCCATAATTTTTGGAGGAACCCAGCTACAGAATCATCTTCTCTGGCACCACCATGCTACAGGCAATGGCACTGCATATGGGTGCCGCCACAGATGCTCGCGCAGGGGTCCGGATTCCTCAGCATTCGCTCAGCTCTGGGGTCGTTCCGTTCCAAGCAATGCCATCAACGAGAAAAGATTCCCCTCCCAAAAGGAAAAAATAGCCCTAGACACTTTAGTTTGCTGTTGGATCTAGTCATTCTAAGTTTAGGAGAATGTGATCAAGGAAGATTAGAAGTCAAACTTCCGACAATATGGAGAGATGGAAAAGCAGAGGTGGGGAGAGTCAGAGAAGAGAAGAGAAGAAGAAAGAAGATCAGAGAAGAGAAAGAGTCAGAAGACAGAAGATGCAGGTGCGCGAAAAGGTAAAGCGAAACACTGTGTTTTTCCAATGATTTGTGGCTCCGGAGGGTCGAAGAGTAGGCTCGCTAAAGCGGCGGGTGCGGAGCTGTCTGGGGAGATGAGAGATGAAAAATAGAACCCCATTATGACGCGAAGCACATTTCGAAGTCAAAAGTGTAAGAAACTGACGGTCTCAGACCACTTGAGATGACGAAAAAGTGCACGCCGTTGTGGCGCGAAGCACATTTCGAAGTCAAAATGCACAAAGCGCAGCATTTTCGGAGCACTTTTGGAAGTTGAGATGTCGAAAAAGTGCACGTCGTTGTGGCGAAAAGCGCGTTTCCAAGTCAAGATGCAAAAAACACTACATGCTCGGACCACTTTTGAAGGTTCAGATGTGGTTTTGCGTGGCAGGCGCAAGGGCTTCTGCAAAGTGAGCAAAACGTGAGGGTTTTGTAGCATGTCCAAAAACGATGGCAGGCGTGGGCATTTGAAGAGGAACTGGACAGATGCATGTCGCGTGGCAGGCGCAGTACAAGAGACATGTGCATCAGAGATGTTAGGAGGTCAGGGCACTCATTTCCGGAGAAGGGCTGCATTTTGGAGCATCAAATCTTCAGTTTTGGGAAGATGATTTTGTGTGACAGGTGCAGCACTTTGTATGACCTGGCATCACTTTGGCGTGGCAGGGGCAGGCGCAATACTTTAGAGACATGGACTGCAAAAATCGCAAAACGCATTGGCACGAGGCCGTCAGCTCTGCACTCAACTTTCCATTATTGAAGGAAGTCTCGCAGAGTTGCTTCGTTTTTGATGTTGCCAACTTCAAGAATTGAGGAGTCTCGCCGAATTGCTTCGTTTTTGACGTCACCAAGCTCAAAGAATGAGAAAGTCTCGCAGAATTGCATCGTTTTCAAAGTTGCAGAAAGATAGACAGACAGACAGATAGATAGATTCAGCTACAACTGCAACTACAACTGCAACCACACTACACTACCACTACTACTACAATTGCAAAAACAAATATTCTACGCTAGTGGCACACTAATGCCACTACACTACACTACACTACACCACACCACACCACACTACGCTACGCTACACTACACTACACTACGCTAATTACATTACACCACACTACACTACGCTAATAGTTACAGTACACTACACTACATTACACTACACTACACTAATTACATTACACTAGACTGCAACTACAGCTACAACACTAGACTACAACTACAACTACATCTACAACTACAACTACACTACGCTACATTACACAACACTACGCTACACTAGTTGCACCGCACTACACTACAACTACAACTCCAACTACAAGCACAGCTACAACTACAAGTACCACTGCAACTACAACTACAAGTACAACTGCAACACAACTACAACTTCAACTACACTTCAGCTACAGCTACAACTTCAACTTCAACTACACTTCACATACGCTACAACTACAACTACAACTTCAACTACACTTCAGTTGCTCAACTACAACAGCTACAGCTACAACTTCAACTACACATCAACTAAAACGACAGAAACAACAAGAACTACAACAACTACAGCAACAACAGCAACAAGTACACTACAATCTGCAGCTGCAACTACAACTGCAGCTACAACTACAATTTCAACTACACGACAGCTACAATACAAGTACAACTACACTACAACTACAACTACCATTACACTAGACTACACTGCACTAGACTTCAACTACAACTACAGCTACAACTACCACTACACTACAGCAACTACCACTACAATTACAACTACAATTACATTTGCACTTCGCTACACCACACTACATCCTGCAGTTGTGGGTGAGGTGACCACTGCAACCATTCCAAAAATCACAGCCACCTTTGGGTCCATCAATGGATTCGCTCTGCCATCCATGCATCACAACAGCCCACCTCTCCTATAGTTTCCTATACCGCCTTGTGCGGTACTACTGGCATTACTATGGGGATGGGAGTATAAGGATTGGGGAGTTTCAACTACCCGCAAACCCTTTCGCCACATACAGGTGAGATAACCTCACACATCGACGCATCCAGGTTGATTGGTGGTTGGTATCCATGGTTTGCTGCAATGGATTGCCCCATTTGCCCATGGTTTTCTTGTTACCCACTTGGATAAAACGTAAGACCCAGCGGAGCAGTCGAATCTTGGTCAAATTCGGTCTTCCACCATCCAATTTCTGGGTACTTTTTTTCAACCATTATGCTTTATTCAAAGGAAGTTTAGTCAGAAAAAATCCGAGCTCACCATCATGTCAACCACATCATCATGCCAACCACCCGCCATCAAGTAGTTGGGAAGTGAGCGCGTGAATTCACGGGTGAAAACACTATCGGGCGCGAAACCGGGTGTTTTTTTGGGTAAAGTGGCTTCCGGGGTCGCCGAAGTAGGTCTCTGCGCCTCGATTGGAGGAAGTTGTCGACAAAAAGTGCACAGGACTGTGGCGAGAGCTCGGTTTCACATAAAAATTGAAAATGTTCGGAGTAGCGCGGAATCGTCCTCATTGTCAGCGCTGCACGAACGCTGGTCGATTTGGTGTGACGCTCCTGCTTTGCGGGTTTGCAGCCGAAACGCATTGTAACAGCTGAGCGAAAGGTAGTTATTGACCATAGTGCTACTCTGGTGCGATTCGGGATTGCAGCTGGAGGCTGCAGAAGCTCCACAAGAGCTAGCTGAGAGGCAGCTCAGATGGGAGGCAGCTCAGAGCAGAAGTAGCCCAGAGTAGTGGCTATCCAGAGAAGAGGTACCTCAGCCAAAAGGTCGCTCAGTGAAGAAGTAGCAGCTCAACAAAGAAAATTAGCTCGCGTCCGTCCGTCCATTGATTCATTCATTCATTCATTCGTTCGTTCGTTCGTTCGCTCGTTCATTCATTCATCCATTCATCCATTCATCCATTCATCCATTCATCCATTCATCGCTTCACTGATTCATTGGTTCACTGGTTGGTTGATTCATTGAGTCATTGCTTCGTTGCTTCATTGGTTCAGCCATTCACTGATTCATTGATTCAGTTGTTCATAGATTCATTGGCTCATTGGTTCATTCATTCACTCAGTGGTGCACGGATTCTTTCATGCCATTTCATTGGCATCTCAGCCACCATTTGCTCATTCGCTGATGCACCTCACAACTTCAACCGCTCATGGCTTCTGCATCTCAAAAACATTCCTGTATGCCATTGAATTCTTATTTTTCGAAACTTCCACCCGGACATGGGCTGGGCACTATCTGGTACACTATGTGATATAATATTAAACAATATTAGATCATATTAATATATGTAGAATTATGTAGACATGTGCTCTATATCGACAATCACATATGTAACTGGTTCCCAGGTCCTAGAGATGGCGATCCGCTTGGGCCGGAAATCCTTGAAGTTTCTTGGCACTGAACACCTGCTGTTTTTCTCGAGCGCTTCTGTCAGGGTGTTTCACAGGCTGAAACACCAACGGAATTCCTTGGGTTCCTGTGAAATTCGGGTTGGATTCATGGATTAATAGATTGATGCGCCTCAACTTGATTGATCTTCTGTAGGTTTGATGAAGGCATGCTGATCCATTTACCTCGAAACTGTCTGGTCAATTTTCAGGATTTTGCAGGAAGCTGGCAGCAAGAAACAACAGATGGCGAGTCTCCTAGCTTTGGGGCAGTTCTACCTCATGCGGGAGGCTGGCGTTAACAGAAGACGTGGTGCTGACCCAATTTTTTTCAAGCATCCATTTTGGTCAATTAAGTGGGATTTCGCTACTTATTGCCGACCTCAGTTGCAAAATTATATAGTCTTGCCGCTTCGCAGTTTAACACACCATTTTTTTTGATGCGATATCTTGAATCATTTTGCATATTTTGATGCTATATTTTGATGATATTGGCACCTATAGTCGAATTTCAACCCCTATTTCGAACCATTTCCCCACCAAAACTTTGACAGGATGCTCGGCTCTCCTTGTCCATGGGCGAGGCTGCCACGGCGCTTCTCCAGGAGCTGAACTTGATACAACCCAGCAGACCCAGCAACGATGATTGAAGCATTGGGACCCTGGGTGCCACAGTGCCACCAATTCCCATATGCAGGAGCTTGATGACACTGCATCGGGGGAGGCACCATTTGGGAAAACATTTGTCATGATGCTTGAACATAGGGTGGAACCCCTTGAAAAGCACTGGAAACATTATGACTGGATTTTGGGTTGCGGTCTGAAAACCTAATTCGATGGAGTCTAGAACCCCCAGAGTCGTTTGGTTCTTGTCTCCGAGAAATCTGAGCCAGGGAGTGGCGGTGGGATTTTTGGTTGAAGCCTACATCCTCAACAATCAAGCGGAGAAGGTGCACCTTGAGGTTTGTGTTTCTGGTTAACCTTAGGCACCTAGAAGGGTTTGAGGTCGACATTGAATTTTGGAGGATGCAAACGGTAGCGGTGGGTTTACTATGGCATTGTTTCATGTTATTTCGTACAGCCATCCAACAAAGGAAGTGCAGCTTTAACCTCCTGAAAGACAGCTCCAAAGAAGAACAGTCTGGCGGAAGTGATCCAGATTCCCAATGTCTTTGGGAAAATCAGAAACAAAATGCAAGAGTAACCAAATTGTCAGATTAAACTGACGGCAAGTTGTTTAACACCAGACTCCAAATCCTCACAGGCTATCCAGGTGTGCAAGGAAGCTTTGGAGCGTGTGAGACCCCGATCAGATCAGAAAAGAGAAGTGGGGACACCTGGGGGGGGACCAAAAACATACAAAAACCCAAGAAAAGAGGGTGATTATGGGTGATTTAAGATGGTTTGAGGTGATTTCAACATATTTCAGCATATTCAAGGAATCAAGCCACTTGGGATCGAATGCTAATTGCCCACTGATCTGATTTGCCAAATTCCTAGGTCAATTTTCATGAGGCCCGTCTCCAGTGAAACCATGTTCCTCCCATTTTAAGGCCAACATCTTCAGTAAAATCGGGAAATCTATGATACATCTATGATAAACCTATGATAAATCTATGATCCCTTGATCTTCCGTTGACCAGGGTGTGACACCGTGGCCTTTCCGCACCTCCCTCAGCGCCCTCCGAGACCGTTTATTTATTGCATCACTTGATCCACGCCCTGTCGGTGTTTGGCGACATCGAGCAGGCGAAGGAGGCGGGCCCTTTTCACCAAGTGGTTCAACTGATATCGTTTCCTTTTTTTTGGTTTCAAGGATTATCAGTATATAATTATTATATAAGTGATAATTCTATAATTATGTATCTTCACGTGATTTCAAAAGAAAAAGGTAGATATCCCAAGTTGCACGGTCTTCTTGTATGGAAGAACCAACCATGTTCATTGTTTTAGGTGTAAAAGTTGTACCCACTGTACCTCACTGGCCCTCCGACGGCAGATCTCAGATGATGCCTTAGCAGTGGCCGACGAAATTGGCTGCAAGCGCAAAGCTCAGAACCGGGATGAATTGGCTCGCCTCCATCACGACGACCGAAGTTCACACTTCCCTGCTGAACTGAAGACATCGATGGGTTCTGTTGCACTCCATGCCTGACCGAGGCGCCTGAAAGCGCACGTTTGGGAAGAGATGAGCCATGCCTACTTGCTGGCGCGGTGTTCTGTTCCCGGATCAAGATTTGGGTAGCCCTGCCCAAGTATTTTGGTACAGGATCCAGTGTTGGTATAAAGTTGGTGAAGGGCTAGTCCTTCCTTTTCTTGTGGTGCCGGGGGCGGCCCCAGGTAGTTCCCTTTCATGCGCCTGGACAGGCTGAGCAGAATGGTGATGCCTTGCATGCTGCTGAGGTGCAGCGTCAACTGTCAGGGTGGAACGAGATAGCAGACGTTGCGCCCATGGACTGATTGGGCAAAACATTGTGGAGAAATAAACTTGGCCGCTACACGTCTGGTGCAATTCGATTGACACTTCGCTACTCAGCGCGATCGAATTCTGCCGTTCTGAAGATCGAAAGATCTCTTGACAAAAAAGGATTTCGAGATATCGTGTAGCGAGGACCTGGAACTTTTCGAATTTTTTCCGGCCAGTTATTCGAACTCCCCGAGTTTTGGTTCTCACCCGCCAGCTACAGAAGTTTGTAGCTTGCCCCGCTTGGAAGTTTCGCCGCAGGTCTCAGTTCAACTTCTCAAGGAGCTGGGTGCTGATCATGACGAGATCACCACCCGCTTGCAGGCACGGGCTGTGCAACCTGTGTCTTCCTGGGCAACAAACGGGGCCCAACGGGCAGGTGTTGACCAAAGTCTTGATCATCCAAGATAACTACAAAGAGGCCTTCAACCAGATAGAGATGGCCAAGGACCCGTGGAAAAACATGGGCAATGACTGAAGGGTCAGCTCGATCTTCTGGGTCATGGTAATGTCATGGTCTTGCAGGACTTGGCTCAAAAGATTGCCAGAGACCCAGCCAATTGCTCCAGGTAATCAATTTGAGCAGGTTTCCACCGCAACTTTGCAACAACCCTTCCATTTGAGGGAGGTGATACAAGTCGCACTGGCCATTTTTGGCGGGGAAACGCCTCAGGCTTTCACAATCATGCAGTTTTGAAGCTGATTCCATGATTGCTCATGTGTTTGTTGTTGCTCCGACCTTTGGCTCAGCAGCCTTGGCAGCGTGAGAGAGGATCAGGAAGCACAGTCAAAAAGATGTCATCATGCGACATTGCCACAAGAAAGATACATGTTGAGGGCGAGTATTCATCCCACTCCTATATGAAGCTCTGGCCCTGACAAGTACCGTTGTAGCCAGCCTATCCTGCAGCATTCGCACCAAATTGCACTGTAGACTTCGCATAATGATTTGGCTCCAGCATCCCCCGAAAAACAGTGATTCCTGAAGATTTCATCACAACATATCACAATACATCACTATACATCACTTGTACAATAGTAAAAAACACATACATGTAACAACATTCCTGTATTCATCTTTCTTCCAGCGGGTGACCATGGCGCGTGGCTTGCGTGGCGGAGTTTTGGGTCTGGGCCTAGCCCTTTGGGCCGCAGGCAGCGCGATCCGCTGGGCCTTCTGTGGCTCCACGGCGCAGGGTCGACTAGACGAGGTGCCAATGCTGCCGCGGCGCGCGGCGACGCCAAACTTTGGGGACCTCTTGGGCTCCATGGGAAAGGTCAGTGAAGCCATGAAAAAGATGCCGGAAGCTGGGCGAAATGGGCATTTCTTTGAAGTTCTGCAAGAAAAATAGAAGGCAACTCACTTGGGGTTTTTGTTGGAGTTTTGTAGCTTCCCCGGTGTGGGGAAACATTCCAGCACATATTCCACATATATATATATATTATATACTGTGTATATATATATACATATCATATATCATATATCATATATCATATATCATATATCATATATCATATATCATATATCATATATCATATATCATATATCATATCGTATCATATATCATATATCATGTATCATATATCATATATCATATATCTTATATCTTATATCATATATCATATATCATATATCATATATCTCATCTCATCTCATCTCATATCATATCATATCATGTCATATCATATCATATCATATCATATCATATCATATCATATCATATCATATATATATATATATATATTATATCTACGATATATGATATACTGTATGATATACTGTATGATATACTGTATGATATACTGTATGATATACTGTATGATATACTGTATGATATACTGTATGATATACTGTATGATATATATATATATATACACATGATATACATACAATATACTTTTTTGATTTTGCAGCTTAGGAGTTGCAGAAGCGTTTGCGTGAGACACCCTCCATGGGCTCAGCACTGGGCGGCAAGATCAACGTGACATTGAGCGGCGACCTGGCACCGCTGGGGGTTCAGATCGATGAATCCTTGATGGAGGAAGGCGATTGGATGGACGACAGCACAGATTGGAATGGGTATTTTTAGGCGATGACTCAGATGACCAACTGATATTTATCAAATTGGATTGATTTCATTGGATATGATGATATTTTGACTGATATTTTTAGCCATCTGGGATGAATGATTTTTAGCCATCTGATGGATGATATGATGATCTGATGAAGTAGAAAAGCATCTGATCATCTGATTGGACCCAGAGTGAAGCGCAGTGATACTTCACCATGATATTCCATCACATGACCGTACTGCAGGGTTCCCCATGAACGCGCAGGTTTGAACAGCAAAGTCATGGCAGATGCTGTTTTTCTGGCCATGAAGGAAGCTCACAATGCATCTCTAGAGCTTTCAAGGACCCGATATCAGTGGATGTGGCTGCATGTGCCTGCCTATGTCTATGTCTTTATCTATAGCAACCCCAAAAAGAAAAAACAATATCATACTAAATTTCATAGTGATCAATTTCCTTTCCATCCTCTTATTGGGTACTAGATACCAATGAATTTGTGCCCAATTTGTGGGCACTCCCCTGCACTTGGAGCTCAGAGGTATCGGTTTCCAGGACTGAGCTGTCAAAGTTCTACAAAGAAATGGGAGTTCCTGTGCCAGGAGCAGGCGGAGACTTTGGGATGAGACCTGTAAAGTTGTGCCCTCAATTTCCACATTTCATGTACAGTTTGTTCTAAGGAACTGAATATGAACGTAGTTGGTTCTAATGAACGAAAACTCGGCCTCGGTGGCTCGGGGGTCTACTAATTTTAAAGCTTGCCCAAAAATTGGCATTGGCCGGTGAACTCCTCATTCTTGTCAGTATACCCGCCAACTCTAGTCCAAAAGTCTCAACTATCAGTGATTTGATTTGGATTCTTCATATTTTTAAAAAATCAACTCTTCATATTGATTTGAAAACACCCATCTCCATATTTTTCTCTGAACCGTTAAGGCAGCCACTTCCATTGGAGCCTGGCCCAGGGGTCGCTCCAGGTATGCCTGGCCCCAGTGGACTTTCAACGCCGCCGGCTCCGCCGGCTCCGCCGCCCATGGAATTTGACCCTGCCGGATTGGGGCCTCGTATCGTGGATTGAGGCCGAAAGTAAATTTAGCGTGGATGGATAAGGATGGATGTCTCCCAGCTTCAACTTTGGGCCCATTGATGAAAAATGGGGTATGGTATGACAGTATGACATTTGGGATTTTTAGTGACATATATATATATATATGTATGTATGTATGTATGTATGTATGTATGTATGTAATGTTATGTAATGTTATGTAATGTTATGTAATGTTATGTAATGTTATGTAATGTAATGTAATGTAATGTAATGTAATGTAATGTAATGTAATGTAATGTAATTAATGTATGTATGTATGTATGTATGTATGTATGTATGTATGTTATGTTATGTTATGTTATGTTATGTAATGTAATGTTATGTAATGTAATGTAATGTAATGTAATTAATGTATGTATGTATGTATGTATGTATGTATGTATGTATGTATGTATGTAATGTATGTATGTATGTATGTATGTATGTATGTATGTATGTATGTATGTATGTATGTATGTATGTATCGCCATCATGGGGATGTGTCTGGGTTTAAGTCTGAAAATGGGGGTGCACCCCCAAGTTATGACCATTTTTGAAATAGGGAAAGTATTGTAAATAAAACCATTGGATTCGGGGTATACTGGCATACCCAACTTCAGACACACCCAAATGAAAGTTGAACTTCGAAGGGCTAAGATTCTTCGCAAGACACTGGCAGGTGGTCCTTTGAACTACGCCGAAATCTCGCCCTGGTGCCAGTCTTTGCAGAGAATCTGAGAACTTTTCAGGATGGATTAGTCTGATAGGAGTTGTCGATTCTGGATTTCAGACAGGAATGAGTTATGCTCCGAGAGAAAGTGGCGTTTGCCCTTGGCTGCCTCTGCCTGCATCAGGCATGTCTTGGATTCCTATGACCGACACCCAAGAAATTGCGAGTAAAAAAAACGTGATCCCACAATTCTTGACCCATACCTCTTGTATTTGCCAAGGAAGAGAAGCCCTTGGAGGCCTTTTGCCTCTCCATCCAGTCCCGTGTGGGACCCATGGGACAGGCCATTGCCCAATGTTACGACCACCATATGCTGAAGGGGGGATCCTCCCACTCCTCCCGGCACCAAGGAGTGCAGGCCTTGTTGGGTGATCCGCAGGCCGGAGTAAAGGCCTGGAAGGGTTTTGAGAGGGGATTGTGATATGCCACATTTAAGTCATCGGTGGTGTTCAATGGTCTGTACCCCAAGGAATTTCCTGACCATTGTGTCAGCATTTTGACACAAAACAATTCCAGAGTCATCTTTGATTGTTTTTTTGTTCATTAGCAATCGTTTCCCGATATACAGTAGATGAAGGGTTTTGTCACTGGCCAATCTGTGTATTTTAACATGACACGTGGCGAAGTTTATGAGCTGAAACGAGCGGACATAACGGTCATACACAGTGTATACCTCCTTACGGGGTTAAAAGATACCTCAACAAATGGCGATGCATAGCTGCTCTTCCTGCTTATTTTCGTTTCCGATATATGGGATATATGGGGGTTTCTTAAAATAGGGGATCCCCAAAACTATGGTAAAATAGTATAATTTTGGATGATTTGGGGATACACCCATTTGAGGAAACCTCCATGGTGGATGTTCTTCCCAGCCATGCGTTGTTATCCACCATTTCCCGTCCTAGCGATTGGCTGCAGTCTTGGTTGGAAGGTTCATAGGGAAGGTGAATCCCCAAACAATGGATTGTGAACACGGCCATACAAGGCCTCAGAAGCCGTTGTTGGTGCTTAACAAGCCCCTCATAAACTCTCATTCTTGTGGATCCAACCTCATATGCTATTATAATTCTATTAAACACCTGTTAAGCACCCCTGAACTCCAATTTTTGGGCCAGTAAATCACCACTTATTTGGGTGTCACTGACTTTGGGGTTGGTTGAAGTCCAGAAAAATCCGATGGTTTCTTCATGAAAGGCAGCCGACTTGGCTATCGACATGTTCCGTGAGGACGGTGACAGGCAGGATGGATGGCATTTTTCTGGACTGCCAGTTACAGATTACCCTCTGGTGAACTAACATAGCTATTGAAAATGGCCATTTATAGTGGATTTTCCCATTAAAAATGGTGATTTTCCATTGCTATGTTAGTTCACCAGAGGGATAATATAGGGGAATCATCCCGAAATAATCCAACATTTCAGGTTGATGAATGATGATAAATGATAACATTTTCCCAGTTTTCCACCCTTCTGTCTGGGGCATTGGGAACAGCCCGGACAATGATGATTATACAGTAATGCCAATATCAGTCACAAAAATTAAGGCCAGCAATACTGGTACATAATAGTAACAATAACCATAATATTTAAGACTAGTAATAGTCTAGTAATGATAATGACAACAATGACACAAAGAAAACTAAGAATCACGATGATAATGTCACCAAGAATAGTAGCATGGCCATATTCATCAACATTCATCAATATTCTATAATATTATCGTGATCATTACCAGTTGACGGATTCTTTTTTCACAACAACAATCTTTGTGAAAAGACAGGGTGATCCGTGCACAGGAGAGGTGAATGCCGTGTTTGGGAAGGCCTCTCCGAGTCTGCAGCTTAGCCCCTTAGCCGAGCCAAGCGCTTCAAGATGTAGCATGATGTACCCCTTCGGCCCATTGGAAGTTTGGTATTCACCCTGAAAGCTGGGTGATGAGGTTCTACCCTGGGGAAATGTATTGATTGATCTGCTCAATCTATTCAGTTTAATATAAATCGCTGGGCAAAAGGTCCAAAGGCAGCCGAGCCAGGATCCACATGACGGCCAGTGACTTCGCTTCTGCTCTCCGCGCTGCGAAGCGAGCAGAGGCAGGGGCGGGGGTCACGACGGTCACGAACTGGGAAGTTAGAAGATGTAGGAAAAGGACGAGAACAAAACCCTGGAGTTGCTATGAGTTGCTGATTGGTAGGGCTGTTAGGGGTGTTTTAAGAATGGCTGTGCTATTTTCTTCCTCTTTTTGGGGAGGACAATTGATGCGAACTGTGTCTGGAGTCTATGCCATGGTATTTTTAGACAATACGTAGGTGTCAAACAGGTGTTTCGGAAGTCTTCCAGCCAAGCTTAAATTCTGTGAGAAGCATCCATCCACATGGCTTTGTTTCTTCCAGAGGATTATCATCATTTTCCCCTATTTTTTCATGACTACTTTGAGGTATAGCAACATTCTTGGACACTCCCAAAATGGAGGTTTCCTAAAATGGGGGTGCCCCTTAATCCTCCATTTTAATAGGCTTTTCCACTATCAAAGGAAGTTTAGAAGTCTAAACTCCGCTTTACGGATTTTTTAAAGTGACCATCACCTTCACCACATCAACGCATCACCCCATACCCACATCACCTCATCACCTCATCATCACATCACCACAGCACCTCATCACCTCATCATCACATCACCACAGCACCTCATCATCACTGTAATGGCTGATTCATGTTTGTGTTTGCAGTCTTGGTGGACGCAGTTCCATTGTGATTTGCAAGGCAGTGAGTGCAGATCGCAGTTGAATTGCTGCGTCAAGGTGATGCTGGTGAGGATGGAATCGCACGAAGCCCAATGTTTTCTCGCACAAAGTATGTGCCGGTGGTGATGTGCGGAACCTTGTTTTTGCGACGGGTGCGGTCTTCGTTCGTTTGATCTTGGACGTGCCCACACTGTAAAGGGGCGCAGATCGTAGTGTGATGGCTGCTTAATACTTGTGATGGCGACCTTGGTGGACGCAGTTAATTATATTGGGATTTGCAAGGCCGGGAGCGCACATGGCCGTCGAACTGGTGCGTGAAGGTGACGGTGGTGAGGACGATCGCCTACCAATAAGGATAGTGGTTCCACTTGGCGGTCGGGCACCAAAACGCGCATGGGAGGCATCGTGGAACAAGAACGGAGGGCGCCACCGTGTGCACGGGGAGGGGCCGCACACTGAAACGCACAAACAAAAACAAACGCAAGAGGATGTCAATGGAATAATGAGGTATGAAAGCACAGGTCGTGAGGACAGCATGAAGAAGGAGAAGTCAAGAGAAAGTCCGTTTTACAGAAAAAGTGATCCAGAAGGGAGCAGGGAAGTGAAGAGAGCAGAGAAGTGAAGAGAGAAAGGAAGTGAAGAGAGAATGAGCTGAAGAGAGAAGGGAAGTGAAAAGAAAAGGGAAGTGAAGAAAATAGGGAAATGAAAAGAGTAGGGAAGTGAAGAGACTAGGGAAGTGAAGAGTGCAAAGAGTAGAGAAGTGCAGGGAGTACGGACGTGAAACAGAAAAGAGTAGAGAAATGAACACAATACGGCCGTGAAGAGACTAGGGAACCGAAGAGAGTAGGGAAATGAAGAAATTAGGAAAGTGAACAGAGCAGGGAAATGAAAAGACCACGGAAGTGAAGAGACTTGGGAAATGAAAAGTGAAGAAAGAGGGAAGTGCAGAGAGTAGGGACGGGGGGAAGAGTGAAAAGAGTAGAAAAGTGAAGAAAGTGAGGACGTGAAGACAGTAGGGACGTGAAGAGACCAGGGAAGTGAAGAGATTCGGGACATGAAGAGAGTAGGGAAGTGATGAGAGTAGAGAAACAAGGTTGTCAGGAGAGAGGAGTGTGTCAGGTTTCGGGCTTCACAGCTCTCAGCAGGAGAAGCTGTCAAGATTTAGAGATGTTAGGAGCAAACCGGATCAAGAGAAAGTGGCATCATCAGAAAAGGATGTCGAGAGAAAGAAATGTCAAGGACAAAGAATTCCAAGAGATCACGGAGCCAATGGCTTTGACAACCAGGCGGTCAGGCTTCGTTCCTATAAACTCTCCCTTTTCTTTATAGGTTTCCCTCCCTTTCGAAACTTCCGTCGCCCGGCTTGCCAGACCATCCATTTTCAAGATCTCCACGTATGGAACCCCCAATAACCCCAAACATCCCTAAACACATGCGCATCAAAATCTAGACGCTTTGGGCTGTGCCGCAGTCGCTGTGTGAAGAAGTTGGTGATACCAGACTCATGGCCAGAATGAAGTGCTGCCCTCAGACAATGCGCTGAGACTGAACTGACATGAACGTTTGACAACACATGAGCAACGGCTGCGATTTACCCCTCTGGATAGGTGATTGGTTCGGGGATTATATTATCCGATATATTGGCGGTTATTAGATTTTCATCCGTGAGCTGGGAATCCCGTTATTCGCCATGCTCACATGCTGGTATTGTTGGAAGTAGATCACGAAACTCAGCGGGGTGGTGCCAGGCATACCACTTCCATGGTGCACATGTCCGCAGACGAGCATCAAGAGGCAAATCCTGCTGTAAAAACGCCAGTTGACCTTCAAGGATTGATGGCTACAGGGGGTTCTTTTTGAACTGTTTGGCAGTTTTTTTAAACATTTTTAACACGCATTTTTAAAAGTGATTGTGGGAATCTCCGGAATCTCCATACAAACCACACAAATGTCTTGCTGCTTAGCCTGCTTCCAAATGATGTTGCGAACTGTTGAGAACGTCGGCCGCCACACCAGGCTCTCTCTGCCATCACTGAAGCAATCAAGTTGTCTCGTTCTGACGATGACATGCGAGGGTCAGCTGAGTCTTGAGATTTTGACCACAGTCGTGGGATGTCATGGGTGGCGTCACTGCTGATTCGATCAGTTTTGCTAGCGTCTTCTGCACATGGTAAGCCGGTTGGCAATGAGAGTTGTTTGCACAGATTGCAAAGTGTCCGTGTCGCTTCCTGCTCTTGGATCTTGGATCTGCCAGGACGGTGAAATACATCTTCCTGGCCATGGACATTTGGGTGACATCACTGACTGCTTTGGATCCTGAGGACCGGCCTTTCCTGCCCCTGGTGGCCCTTAGTTCGAGTTGCTGTGATTTGGAACTGCGACTCTGAGGACAAAAGCAAAGTTCGAATTTACAGGCCTACAATTTGCTTGCGTTGCTTGAAAGCTGAATGTCCCACCATATCAAGTTTCAATCCCTTATTTTCTTCTGAGAAATCTCGGATTCATGGTTCATCTCCCATTTCTTTGTCGATCATTTCTCCGTCGTGGGTGGCCGTGGTCAAAATCTTGTTAGATGATCAGCCCGGGTGAGATCGGATAGATCTGGATCATTTCCGGATCATAAATGCACTGGTTACATCATGTTATATCGGTTCCCACTGGTTAAAAACACGTTATGTTGCATAATGTTACATGCTAGGATAGAAAACTGGATGCTTTTTGGGTGTTTTTTTGGAGAGAGGCCTAGAATCTAGTTTTTTTTTTTGGCTTCCGCCAATGACAATGACGGTCTGAATCCATTTTTCTTTGAGAATATGGTGCCCCGAAATCCAATGGATCCAATGGTGGCATTTTTCCCATGATTTGATGGCCAGATGTTGGGTGAACAATATCCAAGTAGCTAATAACCATGAAAGTGTCCCACGAATTATTCCATTATTATATCAATCTTCCCATTTTCCATTTTGGCTATATATGATTATATGTATATATATATACATATATCCCATTGATGATCCCTTTCCTCATGTTTCACTGGTGCCTTCCAGGCAAGGCTGTGAGAAGGCCATGCGATTGGCCAAGGAGGGGGTGAAGCTCAGCATCCGCGGCCCGGCTGGGGAAAAGGATATGGCTTGGGACAGCTTGCTGTCCTCATTCTTCAGCCATTTTGATGATTGAATTGGTTGAATTTCAGGGGTATTCAAGGATCTTTTGGTTTTGGATGGTTATAGAATGGTTCATTTGCGTCAATTTGCAGATGTTTGATGCCGACTTTCACGACACGTCCTCAATTGCTGGCAATTTTTCTTGAGGGACGTTTGGATCTACCATGCCCAAACATCGAGCCCTGTGGATTGATTTGCTTTCTGAGGTTTAGAGGATCGATATGCAGAGTGCATGGGCAACTATTGGGTGACTTTCTCAGCGAGTTCTTCCACTGGTGGATGATACGCAAAATCTGACTGGTAGACAAGACTGCGCAATCAGGTAGTGCCAGCGGGGGAGTAGAAACAAGAGGTGCAAATGAGTTTGATCAAGAATTGGGTATACGGTATACCCTAGAATAGCCAATGCTTAATGCAAAAAAATGATGGTAAACCATGGGATCGTGGGGTTTTCCCAATATTTTCAGAGCGACAAGTAATCAGAGTGTCCTGGTCTTAAGGTCGGTACCATGCACATCATGATGGGCACAGAACTCAGGAACTTGTCCCTTCAGGTCTTTCAGGGCTTAGTAAACGTCCCCATCTTGATCCATTTTTGGGATTGAAAACCCTAGCTTCGGTGGAGATGATATCTCTCTCCCTGAATGGGTGATGTTTATATGGCAGGATCTTCATGCCATGAAGCGTAGCAAGCGTCCAAAGAGTAGCAACTGGCAGCAACCGAGGCAAACCTCAGGACGCCAAAGCGAGTGCAGACACGGCCCTGGAGATTGCGAAAGAAAAGAGAGATTTGCTTGGAACTCAGAATAGCCAGCCTTGGACCTCTGAGAATAGGTGGTGGGTTTGATGATGCTTTGGGCCATGAGAGGATTTGCCAGCAACAAGACACAGCTGTGAGGAATTCAATTATAGGGTGATAACCCCATGCTGTCCAGGTTTACTTGAACTGGGACCATACCTCAATCAATTGGTCCCATAGGTTTTGAAAACTGCTTCGATTGACCTCCAAGAAACTTACCAATTGAAGTATTTCGAACACCATGGGCCACCATGGGCCATCTAAAAATGGCCTGGAGTTTCCATATCACGAGTCCTGATGAGTTAGCCAAAGGCCCAAAGGCTAGGGGATGGACGAAGCATGAGGCTCAGCGAGCTATATGCACGTGGGCTTATGGTTCGGGGACTCAGGTGATAGGGATGGAGCGTTTTTTGTGAATTTCCCTGAAATCCAACCCAAGGATTCATTCACTTTCATTGAAACTTCAATGGAACCGCCAAAGAGATTGTAGTGCAGTTGGAATCACTGCCAATTGCACAGTTGTTGTACACATTTTGCATCCCGTTTCTCTCAAGAGTCGACAGAACGAAGGTGCTACAGCTAGATAGTTTAGTCAAGTTTAGTCCTAGAGAATCCTAAAGTCCTAAAGAACTATTTAGTGGCTGCGGTATCGCACTTTTTGAGTTATCCAATGGCTTGATATGTCATCGCCAAACTGGAAGCGAGGTCCAAGTGTGTTTGCAAGAGAAAGACATCAAGGGCGCCAAAGAGAACCTGAAAGATGTTCAGGGTATCGCCGAAGAGCTGGGAGACCCTCAAGGTGCCATCAACCGGGGATCTAAAGCATTTCATTTTTGGGATGGAAGTATGTCATATATATATATATATACACATATTTATATATACACATACAATTATATTTACACACGTGATATCTAAAGCTTTTGAGCGGAGAAGTGTGGTGTTTTCTGACGCGATGGCTCATCAAAAGGGACAATTGCGAGGTGACCCGTTTTCGTTTTCATAGAATTAGTGATCTTATAACCATTGGGAACCATTGATCTTAATTAAGTTCAGAGTTGAGTTTGTAATAAATATCCTTCCTTAGGAAAGAGTCTAGGAATGTGCTTAGATAGCTCCCAACATGGTTGCAACCGCAAAGACAGCAGTTTAGAATTCCATTCCCAGCACTTTAGAGATCTGAATCCGTGAAGCCAATTCCGCTGCATTTTTGCATTATTTAGTGTTGATTTAAGCAAAACAAAGCGATAAGCCCCCCCCAAAGAGCGATAACCTATATTTTCGTACCAAACATCAACAGTTGATTTTGACGGCGGCTCACACACATATATATATGATTATATATATGATTATATATATATGATTATTATATGATTATATATATATATTATGTATATATATATATGATTATATGATAGATTAAAAACATGTTGCCCCCCAAGAAGATAGATAAGTGTTTCCATGATGGTGCAGATGATATTTCCTCACATGATATTTTTAGCTTTCCGACTTTTATATCTATTTTGCGGTTGCTGTACTATATACTGGGATGGGAGATGTAGATCTTCACAGCATGGTTTTTGCAAATGTGGATCTCCGTGGGGTGAGTTTTTGCTTTGCAGATTAGCAGAAGCCACTTCTGCTAGGGAGATTTCATTTTTTTTCCTACCCGGTCCTCTCTTTCTTCATCATTAGCGGCTAACTCTCCATTTTGATAGGTAAATCTTTTCAGTATCTTCAAACATCATTATGTTTGCTGAATGTTTCTGAATATCCACGTACTTGGTTGTGACAAAAACGGATCTTCAAGCCATTTTTTTCGATATTTTTCATATCCCCATTATCCCCACATTTTTCGATCCTCTTGATGGTTAAATCCTCCAAGATTATCCATACAAAAAATCTCAAGCTGGTTTAGGTTGGGGTCTCAATCCCCCAGTTTAGGTTGGTATAACGGGGAAGATAAAATGGGCATATATTTGATATAAATTCATTTACAATGGATAAAGAACATATTATCAATATATTCCCATTTTCCCACATACAATCTCCCATGATTGGGGGATTCTCTTCCCATTTTATCAATATTTTCAAAACCTCAGTCCATCAGCCGCGCCAGCACAAGCGATGGTGGATCAGCTCAAGGAGCTGGTGCAAGGCCTGGGTTGAACCAATCCCTGCCCCCTAATGGCACCCCCCAGATGCTGGGGGTCATTGGGGGTCAACAGATGATGACTTGGGGATGGGTCAATACCTATAGATACATTTTTAGTGGGATGAACATCCATTTACCAGCTATTTTGGGGTTCACCAGGTACCAGGGTTTTGACCCATCCCCAACAGATGATGATTTGATGCTTCCAGAAGCAACGAAAAACGATGCAGGCTCTGGTGCTCAGGAGGCTGCCGCGCCAACGCAGGCAGGGAGTCATCCGTAGGTCGCAGGGTTTGTTGAACGGTTGCGTTTTAAATTCCCGGGGCCTCCGGTTCATTCAACAGCCCCAAGAAATCATGGTTGGGTGTTTGATATGAATGATGGGATGATATTCCCATTCTGTTGTTGATGGGTAACTACTGGTAACAAACCATTACAGGTTATAGGCATAATTACTGTACTCTTACTCAATGGGACACTACCACACTTTTGTATACTTTTGTCCTGTTGTCCATGAAATCATGATGTTGGTTGACTAAACGAATCCTTTTTGATTCATTTCCCATTTCCCCATGTTGGAATCCCCTGTTGATTTCGCTTGCCCATGTTTTGGTCAGGTGGTGCAGGCAGCAGTGGATGCGCCCACAGAGGGAGCAGCCTCTGCAGCACCCACCGATGTGGCACGGGCACCGAGAATGTCTCGTCGGCTCCAGCAGATGACCTTGGAGAGGATGATATGGGGGTTTCCATAAATGGGGGTATCCCAAAATGGTTGGCTTGTAATGGAAAATCCCATTAAAATGGATAATTTAGGGATACCCCCATTTCAGGAAACTTCCATATGTCTCATGTCCATACTCAGTGACTCTCAGATTTCTCAGATTTGCATTTCGGATAAACGGGGCCGAGTCCTTCGTGGCCCCAGACGCGACAGTGATGAAGCGTTGACCTCAGCAGTCCATCGCAAAAAAAAACACGGGTGGAGCAGAGGCTGATGGAATGGTGATTTAATGGTGATTCAATGGGATTTTATAGTGATTCAATGGGATATTAATGGGATATACCCTTCAAAAGTGGAATGCGGTACTCCCAATCAGAAAAAACCTTCCCCAACTCGGTTTCTACAATGGGGTACCCAAACAAAAAAGCGTCCGTTCTCGCAGTGCGACCTAGGAACCACATCATTGCCATGGTGAAGAACATGGTGGGAGGTGGTGATGAAGTGGATGGCGACACTCCATTGATGGAGCCAGAAACCCCAAAGCCCTGGGAAGTTGTAGGACTTCCCGCCCCCCAAAATGGGGATCTTAACCACTCAAAAGCTGTGGGAAGAATAAGCTGGAAACTACCAGAAATGTGGTAGCATGGGATGATATGGGATTTGTCACAAGTTATCACACGTTTTCAAGCATGTCAAGCATGTCAAGCATGTCAAGCATGTCAAGCATGTCAAGCCCCAAAGATGTGGAAACGATGTACCCTCTGGTAAACAGACAAAAAACGATGGAACATCACCATTTTTATTTTGGGTATTTCATGGTATTTCTCAACTATTTCTATGATTTTCGACTGGGCCATTTTCAATAGCTATATCTGTATGTTTACCAGGCCGGGTATATCCCATTAAAATCACCATTTTTGTTGGTTAAATCCCATTAAAATCACCGATGTGGAAAAAACCCGAGGTCCGGCGTTGATAGCCTGGCCTCGGTGGAGCTACGAACCCAGCTGCAGCAGGACGCGGAGTTCCGAAAAACCAGTGAGTGCTTCATAGATCTTAAGTGATGTATATATATAATATATATATATATAATATATATATATATAATATATATATATATATAATATATATTTATTCTTATTCTTATGATAATATTCGTTATTATAATTATTACTATTATTATTATTTATTATTATTATTATTACAATTTTGATAGGGCCTGATAGTATGATTCTGTATGATTAACTACTGTGAGGTTACTATAAAGATAGTTTTCGGCTGTGTTTTTTTGGTACCATTCTTGCAATGAATATGCCGTTCACAGGGGTCAATATATCATTTTCATAGGGGTCAATAGACATTGACATCCGGTGTTGTTGGAATCCAATTCAATGATGGCGCGATGTCAATGTCCAGGGGCCACATTCATCCCATGTAAATCGACCACACCATATATAGCTATGGCTATGACCAAGAAAATTGTCGATGTTTGGTATGAAACAATCCATCCTTGGGTCCTTAGGTCAATCAGTTGGACCCCACAGTTGAATAATGTTGAATATTGATAAAACATAGTTGATCTGTGAAAAAAACACTTCGAAAAAAACACTTCGAGGTGTCATCCTCCCAGCCTTGCTATGCAGCAATGGAAGGAGTTCAAGGTGAATTTGCCATCCACGGTGATGTTCAATTACCCGACCATCGAAGGTATCACAGGGCTCGGCACCACAGCGGATGTTGCGCGGGAAGATGTGTAGGGGAGCAAACAGTTCAAAACCTCAAGCTTTAGGGCTTTTTCAAGCCTTTCACCATACAATTCTTTTGGTTTCGTATGTGTATCCTTGTTACATTGGTGGGTTGAAAAACCCTATGGATCCCTATTTTGGTTGGTTAACTCCACACGTCCATGGGTTTTGTCCTTAGTTTTGTTCGCAAAAACCATGATGAATTTGATCCTCAGATCGGTGCCACTATAGACTAAGGCTTTTGGTGGACGAGTGCACCCAGAAGAAGATCACTTGGACTGGTTAAGGATGCCCGCCATGGCCGCCATGGCCGCCATGGACATGACTGTGGGCTGGGTAAACCTTGGTTCAGTTTCGGTATGGTGGGGAATTTGATGTGATCACTTGGCCACAAACGGAGGCGGATGCTCTGCTAAGCAGCCTTTTCCGGGATCTAAGATTCGCAATGAACAAATGTGTCAGGTAAAAAAACCGGATGGTGTTGGAGATTGGGATGTACCGAAACTAGGTGAAATGACTGATCCTTGCTAAATTGGTTCGTTTAGTTTCGGCTTATGTGTTTGATCAACCTCTGCCGCATGGAGGCTCAACCAGGAGTACCTGGCTGTGACCCTGTCAAGGGGAGTATTTTCAAGGTACTTCTGGTAGGTGAATGACCAACGACATACAAAGCCCCACAAGTTGACACAAAACGGACGAAACGGACGAAACGTCTGTTAGGGGGATACACCAAGCGCATTTTCCACCCAACCAAAAGAATAGAAGCATGGCATGGAAGGCAAGAGATGCGGCCTAGAGGCCTAGAGGCTTGAATCCTTCAACCACTCTCATTTTCAAGCTTCCAAGCGTTGGCTCGTTTCAGGATGGGCTTAAAACTTTAGGACATTTATTGCATCCCAGATCTTGCTCCAATCCAGAATCATCAAGATGCCACAGGGGTCGAGGCAAAAACCTGTTCCATCCTCCATGGGCCATGTGGCAGAGCCGGCCACGACTTCGAGATCATCGAGGTGTTTCTCATTTGCCACAGGTAGCGAGTTTGCCAGCGCTGCCTGTGCCGCCTACGGTGCCGCAGTCTGCAGGTGTTGTTTCTGTTTGGGGAGCTTGGGATGAAAGGATCAAAGTTCATCGATCTGCTGAAAGGGAAACAAGTCGCTTAATCAGGGCCTACCTTCCATGGTTTCCTGAGAATCTTGAGATAGGTTCTTTGCTGCGATAACAGTGGACTTGCGATAGCCAGAGAACTGAGGTGCACCTCTACGAGCACATCCACGAACATCACCACTTCGTTTACCGCGCGCCAGAGCTTCCGTCACAGGAAGTGCAGGAGGCCGCTGCCGCGCATCCGGAACGCACCAAGCGGCCCAAGAAGGAACGGTTGGCGCGACCCGAGCGACCCCAGCGACCTGAGCGCAAGGAATCCGAAGAAGCGGAGATGGTGATCCCTCGAATTGTGGTGGAACAGGTGCCTGATAGACCTGCATCCGAATCACAGGAGTGCAGCTCTGGAAGGTTCCTGGAAGGTTGGAGGGAATTTTGGATGTTGCACTTGGAACATCATTATCATCATCGTTGGTAGCGGCCAGAGGATTGATATAAAATGAACTAACATGATATAACTATAAACTGAAACTTCCGTGCTTCAGGAGGAGACACATACAGCTGCTCCTGGGGTGCCTTGCACAGATTCCGCGGAGTCCTTCCCCCGGTGGAAGAAGGATGCGCAGCCCAAGCCCAAAGCCATCCCGAAGCCCGCCATGGACTTCCTGACAGTGGGAGAGCGAAGTCGAGAACAGCTGGAGAGCAGAAGTTCAGTTGCATCTTCCAGATGCGTTTCGAGACAAAGCTCACCTGCTGCCAAAGTGAACCTCGTGTGCAGGTAAGAAGCTTTTGGTAAGGTGATTCATTTGACAAGTTAGGGGAAGTCTTGTGACTTGTGACCTTTTCTTCGCTGCTTCATCATATTGACCCATAGCCACCAAGGAAGTTGGCGAAGGCACAATGGGATATGGATACGCTGGATGAATTTGGCAGGTTGGTACAGTGGTTACTGCTTCGAAGGTATGAATTGGCTGGAAACCAGGGTTTTCTTGCAAGATCTTGAGCACGATCCCTTTCAGCCTTTATGAGATAGCTATTATCGCAAGAAAACGACAGGAAAGCATGTACAGCCATGTCAGAAATTGGGATCCCCCAAATCCATCCAAATGATAGCTTACCAAAGTGCGAAGTCTACCAGTCTAAATGGGTTTCTAATACGGTACCCCATTCCATCTTGTGGTTTATCAGTTTACCACGATTTTTCCAATTCAAATGGCTAAGAAAAATAGTGATAACATCAAATAAAATCTCATTTCACATGCTGAATGATTTCCTGAGGCTGCACAAGCTGCTGAGGACGATCCTTTAGCCATGCGGTTGAGCCTGGGTTGCAAGTCGAGGGATCGAGGGTTCATTTTTCCAATTTTTTACAGTCAATTTTTGCGATCGAAGCCCCTGTATTTAAGGGTAATTGTTAGTGGTTTCCTGTAGTTTTCACTGAAAAACATCAATTGAAACTTCTTGCCAGAGCAGAATGCACGCTATCTAGAGTGTGATTCCAGTAAAGAGGAACCTCATTGAGACGAAGGTAGTGATTCATGATCTTTCAAGCACGGAATTGCCAGGTTTTTTCTGATGGCAGCATGTTTTGTTGCTGGGATGATGCCCTCATGTCAACGGTACCATTTTTCCAGAGGGTTGCATGATTAAAATGCAGCAATTTCGTTTTCACTTGCTATTTGTTCATTGAATGACTCTTCCACCGACAGAGCCAGCGATTTTGCGGAGGCGTTTTAGAGCGGGTCTCTGTTTTTTTGATGTACCCCAGTTGTAGGTGATACATTCGACACTTGTGGATATCTCTCTCTCTCTATATATATTATATATATATATTATATGTATGTATATATATACACACAAGAAAACAATACCTACATGCCATGCATACATGCATACATGCACACATGCACACATGCACACATGCACACATGCACACATGCACACATGCACACATGCACACATGCACAGATGCATACATGGATACATGCATACAGGCATACAGGCATACACGCATACACGCACGCACGCACGCACGCACGCACGCACGCACGCAGGCAGGCAGGCAGGCAGGCAGGCAGGCAGGCAGGCAGGCAGACAGACAGACAGACAGACAGACATACATACATACATATACATAGATAGATAGATACATAGATAGATAGATGGATATATGGATACATGGCCACACAATACATTGCATTACATTTCACAATATCGCATTGCATTACATTACAGTGCATTATATATAATTTAATGGTATACAGTATACGTTACATAATCAAAATGTACTATACGTATATGTAATAATGGCATGAATGATACAATACATAGTAATAAAATATAAAGTAATATATCATATATATATATTATATTACTCTATATTATGATCATTGTCTACCATAATCATTATTGTTACTTCTATCAATATTATCACCCATCATAGTGATAATGATGATGATGATTATGATGATGATGATGATGATGATGGCAATCTATCAATCTATCAATGAATCAATCAATCAATCAATCTATCAGTCTATCAATCTATCAATCTATCAATCTATCTATCAATCTATCAATCTATCAATCTATCAATCTATATCAATCTATATCAATCTATATCAATCTATATCAATCTATATCAATCTATCAATCAACCGATCTATCTATCAATCTATATCAATCTATATCAATCTATCAATCTATCAATCAATCAATCTATCAATCTATCAATCTATCAATCAATCTATCTATCTCTCAATCTCTCAATCTATCAATCAATCAATCAATCAATCTATCTATCAACCAATCAATCAATCTATCTCTCAATCTCTCAATCTATCAATCAATCAATCAATCTATCTATCAACCAATCTATCAATCAATCTATCAATCAATCTATCCATCAATCTATCAATCAATCTATCTATCAATCTATCAATCTATCAATCTATCAATCTAGCTATCAATCTATCTATCAATCTATATCAATCTATCAATCAATCAATCAATCAATCTATCCATCAATCTATCCATCAATCTATCTATATATCAATCTATCAATCTATCAATCAATCTATCAATCCATCAATCAATCTATTAATCTATCAGTCTATGTACCTATCTACCTATCTACCTATCTACCTATCTACCTACCTATCTATCTACCTATCTACCTATCTACCTACCTATCTATCTAAGATAGAATCTACCTATCTACCTATATCTAATTACACATTAGACTTCCATGATGGCCTTGTGCTCCAGGAAGTTGATGGAAGCCGAAACCCTCTGGTCGGACCTTCGCCGCGACCTGCGACGTCACCTGCGTGAGCTCCCGGACTCCTCCAAGTCCAAGGCGAGGCACGGCCAATGGACCGTGGCTTTCACGGGTAAACCAAGGAAAATGGCTGGTGAGGTGCAGGGAAAACTGATTTTGGTAGATTTTGGTCAATTTTTTCTGATGAAACCCAGTTTCTGATGTTTGGTTTTGGCTGAATGTGGGTTCATGTAATTCTTCGCTTCAAAGCCTGGGAGATGGGGTGAACAATGGGGATAAGATGCAATTTGAAGTGATTTAAATGAAGGGAAGGAGGTTTCAACATTTTCGAACTTGGGGGATGGGAATTGGGCATGGGAATGGCTCAAAATCATATGCCACCCATTTATATATATATATCTATATATATATATATGTATATACATGTTTCGAATCTGGAAATGTGTCAAATACATTGTGGGCCTGTTGGCAATTTTTTTTTGAGCCTCATGACCAGCCCAGTTGGGTTTGGCCACAAATGGGATGGGCACCCATGTTTGGACAATTTTTTGGTTGGGAAATGATGATAACCTATTAGAATCATTAGACTTTAGACTTATGGAGTTTGCTTTTCACTTAGATTGCTCCAAGTGTTGACTTGGGATGTGTGCTGAAGGGGAGGAGTGAGGGCAAAGGAGATGAGAAAGAACAGATACGATCAGATACGATTGAATTTTCATCTGGAAGGTCTAATGTGGGACACCCAATAATAAGCCTACCATTTGGGGATGGTTTACACCAGCCATTTATGGGGTTGGGGATGGCTTATTGTTGGGTTTACTACATTAAGAGAGTCTAATATGCTGCTTTCTTTCCAAGATGATTCAACATCGTTGAGCTCACCGCAGGCGAAACAAAAACTCATGGGCCGAATGGTGAGTGGAACCTCCAAGGACCGCGCAAGGCCCAAGCCGATTCCGGATGGGGGTCACCAACCTCATTTCCCTTATAGATCCTTATAGTAACTTCCAAAAAGATAGAACAGTAAAACCCTACTGAAGCAGTGATAGATCACGTTTCTACCTTTTTTTTGGGCTATAATATCTATAATGATATTCAAATGGCAACTTAAATTGGGGTGCAAATCCACCATCGATTGCCGAATCCCTGCAGAAAATCAACAAGAACTGCAGGTTGGAGCATCAGAAAGCCAAGGAGCACGAGGAGAGTCGTGAATTGGTTCGACATGTGGAAGAGGAGCTGAAAGCTTGCAGCCGATCTCGTGACTTGACGATGCGGAAGCGTGCAAGAACTTGGGGGATGCTGGGGGAAGCGACACATGCTGGGGGATTTCATCATCAGAAATGGTGGATGAACCACCAAGAAATGTGCATTTGACCAGCAACAATTATGATTCTACCGACCTCATTTAGTTACTGTAGGGAATTTGCCAATCAAATTGGGAATTCTCCAACATAATTAGCATGGAATTTTATGGATTGAAGCTGGACATACGCCAGGGATGGACAGTGACAGAAAGTCAAAATGATGGCTTGACCTGGCTTGAAGCCACGTATTATATATATATGTCATATATATATATTTATACACATCATGCATACATAAATTTATGGAACTCTCTTGAGCGGACTGAATGTCAAGAGTGCTCGGTGACCATGCCTGCTGCGTGTTTTTGCTATCCGCTAGTCGGCTCGTGCCCTTAGAACCTGAGGTCACAAGGTGTTGAGAATGCAGGAGTCCGGCTGCCTTGGGACAGCTGTTTTAACACATAATTCGAGCAAGTCTTCCCGTTTCCCTTGATTCATCTCACATTCTTGTTGCTTATATCATATCAATTAATGTGTATCTATATCTATGTATGTAATGTAATGCAATGCAATGTAATAATATGTTTTTATTTGTTATGTTACGTTATGTATATATACACGTATATATGCATGTATGCATGTATGTATGTATGTATGTATTGTATTGTATTGTATTGTATGGTATGGTATGGTATGGTATAGTATGGTATGGTATGGTATGGTATGTCATGTCATGTCATGTCATGTCATGTCATGTCATGTTATGTTATGTTATGTTATGTATGTTATGTTATGTATGTTATGTGTGTTATGTATGCATGCATGCATGGATGTAATGTAATGTAATGTAATGTAATTTAATGTAATGTAATGTAATGTATGTAATGTAATGTAATGTAATGTTATGTTATGTTATAACATACATAACATACATAACACACATAACATACATAACATAACATACATAACATAACATAACATAACATGACATGACATGACATGACATACCATACCATACCATACCATACTATACCATACCATACCATACCATACCATACAATACAATACAATACAATACAATACATACATACATACATACATACATACATACATACATGTATATCCAATATCCCGGCGATTTCCAATTCTTGATGGTGATTCGCCCCATTTCCGCCTTCTTTCGCAACAGACAGGAGCTCCTTCGTCGTCGGGGCGTGCAGTTCTTCAGGTGAGGCGGTGATCCAATGGATTTATGGATCCAGAGTGACGAGCCCTGACAGAAATTTCACGCGACAAATCAACAATTCAACAATTCATGGCATGGTACGTTACAATAATGACTGTGTACCAGTTGTAACATCAATTTTCTGAAGATCCATCTGACGACTGAAGCTGATCTCCAGAAGATGGAGATCCAATTGGTAGTGGCAGATGCAGCTGTTCTTTGCCGCTTGACCATGAAAATCCGATGGGAATCACCGGACAGATGGATTTTCCGCATGTTGGTCAAGCTGCTTCCGTAGGCCGCCAGATGGTGGACTTTTCGCATGTGTAGCTAGTAGTTGTCAGCGTGTGTTTCCCAAACGGGACGACAAGCTTCGGGAGTGCGTCTCATACATCACGACAACACAAGCATACAACGGGAAGATTGCAGATCCACAGAATCCATAGGCAGTAGTTGCAGTAGCTAACCTGACATCACAGGGTTATGTTGGGATGATATCACCAAATCGGACAACGACGGAGCCTAACTTCAGTGATCATCTAAGTGGGAGGCCAGTACTTGTGAAGATAAGTATGGATCTTGAGACCTGGGAACAACTGATGTTGTCATTTTCAGGTAGATATACGTTCTCTCCCGATAGGCAAAGAATGGAAACATCGGAAATCCCCATGACCCTGAGAAGAAGGGGGTTCAATTATCGACAACTGCATTGGCTAGTTGGGGATTTTTCACTGCCAGATTGGCCGGTGGATTGTCCAACCATGGCAATGATAACATGGGAGGGTAGCTCCCAAGTTGTTGATATATGTCCATGATATCTCCATGATTCTTTCATGAAATCCCCATTAAGAGTATATCATGTATATCCCATCAATATTCCATTTCTCCATATTTACTAACCCATATTCAACCTTCGTTTATCCCATGAAATCCCCAGGAAATCCCCAGGAAATCCCCATGAAAATATCTATGAGACACACAAAACAGTGATTCGGGCGTACGGCCAAGGCCTGCGGCCAAGGCCTGTCCCAGCACCGCAGAAAACAGATGGGACGTGTTGCGAAAAGCGTTCGACGGCTTCGACTGGGGAAAAAAGGGGACCTCAGCATGGAATGCATGGATCATGTCTTACAGATGGATTGGTTATGATTGGTTATGATTGGTTATGATTGGGTTTGTCTGAAAAAAATGGCTATTATAAAAAAAAATTGACACCTGAACCCCCCATCTGTCATGGAGATCCCAATGTGGGGTGCCCAGATCACATGATATTTTTGTTGCCAGATGGAGTACCAAGGTTGAAGACAGCTATCAGGTAGGTCTATGTCTTGTTGCTTAGATGATCCAACTGCTTACATACTTTGATTCTCTTAAGGGGACCATGTCACCTGCAGCATGTGAAATTGTGACACCCACATGACACTGCGCTCCAGGATCATTTCAGAGATCTGCTGGGCGTGATCCGTGCGATCTTCCATCATTTTGACCATGAAAGACTTCAGCGACTTTAAGGTAAATAATGGTTGATTTTCATGACCATCCTACATGGAAACACCAGATAGCTCCGGCGAAAAGTAAATCTAGCAAGACAGGCAAGATGCAGACGGACACCAGCAAACAAGCAGAGGTGACATGTCTGACTCTAGAGTTGTTCATCGCCGGTGCTCATGGGATCCCAAAAGTCAACCCAGACAGAGGTGCTGTTTATATACCGTGGGTACCTCTTGGGATTCCGTGATCTTCACTTCCACCGACAGACGGCAAGGAAGCGAATAAAGGAGTGCCATGCACGGCAAATCTTCGGCCAACTCTGTCATTGACAGTTGGTCAATGTTGGTCACGACGTGAATCTTGTACTATCATGGCAGTTGTGCCTCCATCTCTTTGCAGATTTGCCACGTAAAAAAAACATCCTTTTGGATTCTAAGATTTGTTGACTGGGCATTTGGCCACCATGGATTCCCTGGAAGAGGTCTATGTTGGCCGAGGAGCATCCAGAGTGCGAGATTTATTCAAGCAGGTGGCATGCAATTTTCTGCTTTGGAGGGAAGATATGGACAGTTTACGCTGTCTGGTACATTTATCATCATTTGTTCAGTCTCCTATATTCTACACATAACGTTGCCGGACTATGACTCATTGAATCATTCATCTTTTGGAAGAGGAGAATCATCTTACCGCGTTTGAGCGAAAAGGAACACATAAGTTGCGCCACTTTGAGACTGCTCGGAAATAACAATGCAGCCCTTTTAAAGGCCCTTACCTTGCTTTCAGCACTTTTTACAGACGCTTAAAGGGAGGCCATTAGCTGGAATCGGTCAGGCAAGAAACATGGCTCCTGTGGTGCTGTTCTTGGATGAGCTTGATGCCCTTGGTGCCCTGGTTACTATGGGATCCGGATGCGTTTAATCTGTCGTATCTGGAATCTCATCATCATGATGAGTCAATCTTCGCCATTGGGGTTGACCTATTGTATCTAGTGTCAGCCAGTCCGGGACTCATTGCTTTTTCATGTTTTTCATGTCTGGAATTGTCAAGGCCAAGTGGTACAATATATATATATACACACATACTTATATATATATATTGGTATATATATATATATATTAGTAAATCAGTAATACTATAATAATTGTCTTAGAGTCCTAACCTTAGTACTCCCTTTTGCATAGCGCAGAGCGAAACCCTGTCCGCCACAGGTACTCGGAGTCGTGGACTTGGCGCCCTCAGTGGAAGTGAGGCCGCGGTCATGGATTGGTTTAAGGGAAAATCTGCTGGAAACCATGGATTTCCCATGAAATATGGGGGTTTCCGGTTTCAATTTGCCCTTCAACCAATCCATTGACGTATTTGAGATCTTATGTGTGATTACACCATATTCTAGCTGTTAATGGATGATTCTTGGTGAATTAATGTACTCTACTGGTGTGAGATTTCTTCAAACCGTTTGTTTCGATGCTGTCTTTGTACCAACGATCGGAGGGGCAGTGGCATGAAGCTTTTGTAGAGTGGAGTCCAGCGGGACATTCTAAGCGAGGTGAAGTGCTTGCGGCATATTTCAATATCTTCAAGGTCTTATCTAGAAATGAGTCCAATTTGCAAAGATGCGCATATGAGTGGTCAACAAGAAAACATATCTCTGTGCAGGCACAGTGTTAAACAAACTTGTTCCGGGAAGGAACCCTCAATGGACGTGCACCATAAACGATAAGGATCGACAAGGTCCGCCTGATTCTTTAGGGGACTCGAGCAAGCAGAACTAAGGAAAATCCCATAGGCCCACCATTTGATGACCTAAGTCATGCACCATTCAAACACCTACCGTCAGAGGAGGGTTGCCACGTTGCCATCCCGTCCAACAGTTGTGGCCTTGCCGAATTTCGGGACGGTGCTACGTGTGAATGTCAGGAGTACGTGCAGACCCTGAATCAACTCCTCTCGGAACTGGATGGGTTTGGAGCCTGGTTTTCCAGGGATTTGCCAGAGTGGAATTCAGAATCTTGCGATCAGCAACTATTGCATCAGGGTCCTGGCCACTGCTGCCTCTTGGCACCTCAAACGTATGGGACTGCCATTGCATCTCAAAGCTTTGGATTGTGAAACCCTGGCTGTGCGGAATTAGGTCTGAAACTGGGGGATGACGCCCAAAATTGTTGCCCATTTGATTGGGGACCTGATGATACCCCAGGGGATTTTCGGGTTTTCCACTTTTCCTCTTGTTCTTGCCCATCAGTTTCAGAGAAACCAGAGGCATCGAACCATATCAGTTCGAACCCCCCAGTTTCTACAAAATTCTCCATGGCCTTCCCATCCAACTGAGGTTCTACGGGCAGAGCGATGGTATCGTGATTCTAGGCGCCACCAACCGGAGTGAAGCCATTGATCCAGCCCTTCTTCGACCAGGGCGCAGGGAGCCCGAGATTGGAAGGTGGTAGCTCTTTGACAGAAAGAAACAAATGAATAGACTGAATAGATGAGTACATCGATACATCGATAAAAAACAAACTTATAGATCAAAAAACAGATGGATGAAAGTACCTGATAGTACCTGAATAACATAAACATACATAAACCATCATAAACCAAATGAATACCTAAGAACACAAAAAACGTCGCGCCGTTAGGCTTCGATCGCTTCATCCAGGTGGATCTACCTGATGAGGTGGGCTCAGCATTACCCAAACACTATATGGGGTTATTTATATGGAAAATTATGGAAAATTCTGGGAAATTCTGGGATATTATGTGAAATTGTGGGATATTATGGGAAATTCTGGGAAATTCTGGGATATCTGATTATAATGAATGGGATATTATATGATATATTTTTGACCATAGTGACTATAGTGGAACAATCAATGGTGCCCAGCAATAAACAACTACCATGACTGGTGATGCTTGAAATCGCACCCATAAAAGTGGCGATAACTTGGGGATGGTTTATCATTGGCTTTTCCGCATGATACATATATATATATAATCTGTGAGTAATATGCAGATCTACACATTTGTTCGAGGTTTAATCTTTCTTCATTAAACGTGTATAATATGATATGTATATACCTGTTAATACAATGACACACCACATACCATTACGTATGTATATATATATATATCATTATATATATACACATAAGTATATGCGCCTGCAAAGTAAGATGAACTATTTCAGATCCTTTAGTCACAATTTCATCATCTTTCATCATCTTTAGCCAATGCAAAGACACCATGCTCGAAAGCCAGGAAGAGCGGCAGCAAATTTTACGTATTCACGCCAACAAGGCCACCGTTCAAGTTAATCAGCAAAGCATGGCTACCAACAACAGATAGGGATTTTTTATACGACCTAGACCTAAACCAACAAAGTTATGGATTTAGAGTTGATTTATGGTAATTAGCTAAGTTGGTTGAAATAATCAAGCTCATTCTATATAGTTGATGGTAGATATATCGAACTAGCTGGGTTTGTAGACCCAACTTATGATGGGTCGGGTCACATAGTAGCAG